CTGCAAGCCAAAATTAAAGAGCTAGGTCTGTCGCACGATCAAATATATAATGCAGACGAGTTGGGACTATTTTGGAAGCTGCTACCTGACAGAACATACGTATCCTCACAAGAAAAAAATACTCCTGGAAGAAAAAGGGAAAAACAGCGTGTCACTTTTCTGGCTTGTACAAACGCAATAGGGATGCATAAAGTTAAACTTTYTGTTATTGGAAAGGCAAAAAATCCTCGCTCTTTTAAAAATTTTGATTCTCCTGTTGACTACAATTTCTCCGACTCGTCATGGATGACGGCTACCATTTCTAAACATTGGTTTCACCATTCGTTTGTACCACAGGTTAAAAAATCAGTTTTAGTGATTTCAAACTTTTACATGTGTGTTTYTTATTATTCTATTTCAGGAAATTTTTAAATGATCAAGGATTGCCCAATAAAGCTCTGCTGTTGATAGACAATGCTCCATCTCATCCTCCCGAAAATTAATTGAGATCAGTTGCGAGTTAATAACTGCAATGTTTATGCCACCTAATACCATACGACTTACAGTCTTTTGGCATCAATTGTAGCCACAGGTACTGATGTTATTGAAGCCCTAAAGAATATGACGTTAAGAGACGCTATTGGCTATTTAGATTTAGAGTGGTAACGTCTTGAAAAGGAAACAATAGCAAAATGCTGGATGAACATTTTAAGCCCTATAGAAGATGAAAAAGACTATGATAATATCGGAATATCCTCCATTAGCTACTTTAAGAGAATGGATTTGTTTATCAATTAACTGCCAACAAGAACGCGCAATAGAATTGCTTCATTCAATTAATCCAGAGGTTTGAACCTTTTCTTCCATTAAATAACTCATTTGATTTAAATTGTGCATTTGCAGGTTAGTTTTTCAATTACTGATATCAATGAAGGGACTGAAGATTTTCCTAACTCAACCGAAACGAACGAGGTTTTAACTAGTGGTGAAAGTGAAAGCGAGGATAGTAATCTGGAAAGACCAYATACAAGAATAGAGCCTAGTGAAGCAACTAACATTTTTAATAAAGCTTTGGAATGGGCGGAAGTCGAAAATATAAGTTCAGCAGATATCAGCGTACTTAAACGTCTCCACGAAAAGCCGTGTTCAGCAATTTGCAAAAAAAGAAAATCCTAAAAACGATAAAACCATTTTTTTCAATAATTTCAATAGATATTTTTTTTCTTAACAAAACCTAAACATATAAATTACATGTTTTTACAAACTGAAATAAAACAAAAGTAAATGAATTTGAGTTAAGACACATGTTTAATTTATTTGAAAAGTTTAAAAAATTATRCCTTCGAAAACGTGAACAACCTCGCAAACGTAAACACGCTCGGTTTTTAATAGTTCACGTTACCGCGAGTCTACTGTATATTACATGTGCACGCATTAAACTGCATGTTCATACATAAATGTTTTTTTTTTTTTGTGCCGGAGGGGGAATCTTACATAAATACTGCTACTTTGCTGTAGCAATATGCACCATTCGTACTGCCCGCTATAGGTACACCTCATTCGGGACCACGCAC